TAATCCAACTAATTTAACATCTGCCAACACAATAACAAAAAACAACAACAGGGTGGCCACTCAAATCAGATTTCAAATTTCCCTGATTTTTCCAGGTTTTCCAGGTAAAAATCTTAAAATTTCCAGGTTCGTGTTTTTTTTTCTTTTCTTATAAAGTGTAGGATGTGTACAAGGAAAGTGTCCATATTATAAAATATTTTATTCAAAATGTAATTTTTTTTAACATTTCATCTTGAAAAAAAGTTTTTTTTGACAAGATTTTGATTTTTTATTTAATGTTTTAATATAACATTAATTTTAAAAAAATTAAGACACGTGGAGAAAATAATGTGTTTAGCTTGTAGAATATATTGTTTTTATTGAATAAAAACTTTTAATGTTTCACTTTAAGTTGTATTTGTGTGTATCTACAAAATGGCAAAAACAGAATGACCAATAAAACCTTGGATAAGTAGGGGAGAGTGGGGTCAATTGTAACAGGGTACGATTGTAACAGAGCAAAAATTTCGAGTGTCGGGATCTAGATTTGATTCCTAGGTGGCGCACAAGGTGTATTTAATAAATCTACATGTACACCCCTGATGGCAACCATTTTTATGTACTTTTGAGAGAGTTACATCACAAAAGATAGTTTCACGCCACGCAAGTACTTTTTTTGGTATTAGAATATTACATTGTAACAAAGTAATTTTGTTTAAACAAATACAATTTAGTAACCGAATATGTAAGTGGACACCTTAATTAACATTTCAATAAAAAAAAGATTAGTTTTACTAATTAACTAGCATTGTTTTTAACAAATGAAGCTGAAATGGCGTCTTGGGGACAATTGTAACAATAAGTAAAGGGACGATTGTAACTGCTGAAAATAATTAATCTTATGTTTGCAAACCATTTTTTAACTCTTTAAGAACCACCAATAGTTTCCTATATCATTTATATTATGTTGCATGTGCATTATTTTATTTGTCACCTTTCACAGCATAAATTAAAATTTTTAACCCCTTAAAGTTAAAAGTTTAACCCTTTAGGTCTCTGCTCATTATTATTTTTACTCCTAAAATATCACTACTATTTTGATCAATAAAAAAATATATCACAACTATGATAATATGTATAATTAACTATGTTTTAGTTGAATTTATGAACTGTTACAATTGACCCCGTAAGTGGGGACAATTGTAACAAGTGCACGACTGTCAAAAATTGTTAATAACTAATATAATAACATTTAAAATAAAGTATTTTTTTTTTCTAGTAGAGGATAGTCTACTTTACTCGTCTATCAATTAATATTAATAATATATTGGATTTTTTGTTAGTTTAAAATAGTTAAGTAAAAAATGTTACAATTGACCCCACTCTCCCCTATTGTTTAATATATTTTCATTAAGCAAAGGAAAACAATTTCAGGTGAATATATATCAATAAATTTTTATAATTACAGTGGCTCCCAAAAGTTATAGTGCTCGTTGACTTATAACTTTTATTGAAATAGGAAATAAAAATTCATTAATTAAAATGAATATTTCACAATGGGTATTTGATAATAAGTACTATAATCTATTTTTATAATATAATCTATTTTTAACAAAACTGCATGGAATACTTTAAAAACAAAGCAAAAGTTAATTTTTAAGATATCAACAATCAAATAGTAACCCACAAAAGTCATTGTACAGTTAAATGTTTTCAGATTTCAGAATTAAAATTATCGTCAATTGCTTCAATTTTTTATTTAGTTTTTTTCATTTAATTTTTTATTTAGTTATTTTTCATTTAATTGTTTATTTATTTATTTGCAATTTAGTATCAAACCTATGATAGCATAATTATATTTTAATTTTAGCTTGCTGATTCCGTAAAATTTTATTTTATCATTTAAAATGGCTTGTGGTCGTAATAAAATAATAGACCAAATTTTATTATTTGTCATCATAAGGGATAATCAGTAATGAATATATTAAATTAGTTCATTGCGTCCTATTGCACTGGGCAATATGTGATAAAATGCTTAAAAGAAGGGCTTCATATCAGAGATAAAATTATAAAATTTGCGGAAAAATTCCTAAATTTGCAATTGAGTGTTGTAAAAGTTTTTATAAAATTTTTAAAAAAACACTCTGCATGAATTTCACCCGACAAAAAAAAACTAGTCAAAAACTAGTATTTACAAACTTATAAAAGCTATTGTAGAAGCAAAAGGAAACTCAACTAAATGTTAATTTAACGGAAAATTAGAATATTTACTAATAGACAGATTTTTTTTTTCTTCTTGAAAGTGTATGATGACTTTTGTGGGATAAAGTTTTTATCACTTTTTGATGATTGATTTCTTAAAAATAAAGTTTTGCTTTGACAAAATATTCCAAAGTTTAGACAAAATATTCCATACAGTTTTGTTAAGATTAGAATACATTTTTTATAATTAAATATCCATTCTGAAATATTCATTTTAATTAATGGATAGTCTTATTTTATTGAAAGTCATAAGTGTACGAACACTTTTGTTTGTGAGTCACTGTAATTACATTTCAATATAAAGCTGTACTGTGTACTACATTATACTGTATTTTATCTTACCAGTATTTTAATAAAATTCATTGATAAAATTTTCTTTAAACCAATATCTCCAGTCAAATTTTTAAATAATGTTGTTTTGAATTAGCATTATTATTTTAAGAGATTCAGTACACAAAAATAAATGTCACAAATGTAAAATTGTCTAATTGTTTGTTTTATGCTCTACAGAAAAAAATAAATAAAATTTCTTAAATTTTATACTTTTTTTATTTCATTTGAAATTAAAACATTTAAAGAATTCCAATCTAAACACACAATTTTTTAGTTTAGCATAATTAATTGTTTTAACAATTAGAATCTTGTACAGCGCACAACAAAGGGTAAAAAAAAGGATAGTTTTGGAAATATCATCTCTGGAATGCAAGCAACATTTAAGAGCTTTCGATATTTTGATAACTATACAATTCGAATTTTGAGTTAAAAATCAAATATTTACCAACAAAACAGTAAAATTAAATATTAATTAATATACATTTAGTTCTAAAAAATCCTTTTTTTAAAATTAAAATATGTTATAAAAGATTAAAATAAAATAGAAAAAATTAGCATTAATGCAACAATTGTAACAATTTGTCGACAAACATTTCTGTTTGCGATTGTAAAAAAATGTGTGATTGGTTGGTTTGCTAAGAAAAAATAATTTACAGATTTCTTTGAATGGGAGTACAAAAGCTTTCAGAAAAAGAGTGCAAAATAAAATATATTATTATTACTTTTTAACCAACTAATTTTTTGAGAATTTTTATTAAGTTAAAAATACAAAAACTTTTGACTCATTTCGTCAAAATAGAAAAAAATTACCACCTTAGCATCTGAACAAACATGAGCCACAAATTGATTCAGCCTACAGACAGAATTTTAAAACAGAAGCAAATATCCTAAAACCTTCTTCCACGCCCAGCACAATCTTTGCCTTTCCTAAATTGCACAATCTCATAGTCTCCACAGAGATCAAAGGTTTGTACATTTGTTTAGCAACAATGGGAGAATTTTATGTGGCATTCTAGTTAAACAGGGATATAATGGAGCAAATTTTGATGCAAGCAAAATATAGCTAAGTTGATGACAACTGTTGAGAGATACATTTCCGTCTAAAAAATGTGGGTATAATGGATGAAATAATTTAAATTAAGAAAATTAGTAAATAATTTAAATTAGTGAAATTAAAAATAAATATCTAAGAAAAAATTTCCAGCTTTTCTTTAAAATTCCCTGATTTTTACAGGTTTTTATCCAAATTTCCCAGATTTTTCCAGGTTTTTTCCAGTATAAAAAAATTCCCTGATAATTCCAGGTTTTCTAGATGGGTGGCCACCCTGAACAATAATAATAATTTAATAAAAATCATTGTATAAACAAATATTTTCTGAGAAATATAAACCATTTTTGCTTCTAGATGAGGGATTAAATGATGTATGAACTAAAAACTAACTTTTTGAAACAAAACACATTTTTTATACATCTCTGATGCAGCAGTCAGGAACTTCTTCCACATTTGTGGAATAGTAAAGTGATTATATCGAATACTTTATAGTTCATTCACTATTTTCTTAAAGTTGATTACAGTAAGCACTTGAAAACTACCTTTTGAATATGAAAAAAAAGAAGATTGAACATCGAATAAAGCTGAAAAGTCTAGACTCATAAAAAAATTTCTGCCCTTGCATTTAGTGTATATTTTTAATCATGCTTAGCAAGAAAATTTTCCCATTTAACTTATGAAAGTAACACAAACCATTTAATGTATGAAATATGATACAATGCAAAATAGGCTGTTTTATAGTCACCATAGTTAATTAATATATACTTTTAGACTCTTAGTCAAAAATGAAGTCAATATGAAACGCATATTAAAATTAAAATTTAAGATATGAAAATGTTTCTAAAATTCAACAATGCATTACAAAGGTAGGACGAGAAAAAAATATCAAAAATGATATTGCAGGAAGGCACTAATTATTAGAAAAATCCCAAGTAAAATCAGGCTATCAAATTGGTTGTAATGAGTTTTAGGTTTCCATTCAATTTTAGATATAAAATTTCAAACTTTAAAATGCTTTTTCGGAAATTGTCAACAAAATTGCAGATAACATTTTAGTAATATATAATAATACTCCATTAGAAATGTATTGGTAAAGTCATATCTGTAATCTAACATCTATCTTACTCGTGATTGAGAAGGAAACTTTTTTACATACATTATTAAAATTGCAAATATAGTTACATTTAAAAAATCACCTAGAAAAACAGTAAACAAAAAGTAATACTCTAATTTTAAAAAGTGTAGAAATTTTTTAACCATATTGCAGTAGAATTTCTACAAGAAATAATTGATGTTACATTTATTTACTTTCACTGGACTACATATTGCCAATATGAATTTTGTAATTAGTTATTTTCCATATTTATTGCAAGATTTTTCCAGGTTAAAATGAAAAATGCATTATTTCCTAAAAATTCCAGGTTTCTCAGAACTTGTAGAAACCCTGTTCACCTTTTTTACTTCACCAAATTTTAAAAACGTTTTGATGCCTTTCTCACTTAAATGTTCATCTGCAAACTTTGCTAATTCATTTTTAAAAAGTATTCTAAAAATATATAGCAATAGGAGTCATTACAAAACACATCTTATATTACATGCAATTTCTTTTATTTAACAAAAACATTGAAATTAAACTGCCACAATCCTTAACTTACCATATCTAAGCTTTGGAGTTTAAAGCCATAAGCTGGACCCCGTTTAGCACTATTCATATAATTTCCAAAAGCCAGAATAGCCTACAAAAATAAAAAGTTTATTGTTACAGTAATACAATTGTTGATTATCTCAGTATATGATGTAATAATTTCATACAGTATATGATGTAATCATATATTGTATGAGATTTAATACTCATTACTTATATGATGTAATCATAATAAGTAATGAGTATAATTGATTCTATTCAAAATAAGTCCTTAGTTGGCAGCAAATATAATCGTAATGCATTGATCTGGTCAACTTGTGCATTATATTCATAAATTAAACATTACATTAGAAATGTATGTATATAATAACAATATGTATTTGTGAATAAAAAACTTTTAAAATCATCACTTTAGGAATAAAGCATGCCTTTAAACTTAATTATTTCAAAAATTTATTGAGAGAAAAAACTAAGATTAGAAATATAAATAATATTCTTATTATGTCCTTATTCTTAATAAGTTCAATATTATAGCCAAATTCTTATTTAGTACAATTATCTCTTTTGATTGTATGTTGCATAAAAACACGATTTTTTAAAATTATATTTAGAATATATATATATATATATATATCTATATAAATATATACATATA